AGGTCTCAATGGTAGACTTAAAATATTCAGTCAACAATGCTATAATCAGATGTGCTGTCATCTGTGCCTTATTGTTCCATTTATAGGCAGAGGAGTTGTAGCATAATTCCTAAGGGTTCTAGGGTTTTTAGAATGGCAAGTGAGCATTGACTTCCACTGAAAGTCACCAGCTGCATTAGCTCTTAATAAGAGTCAGCCTGTGCCTTGAAGTTTTGAAGGCACTGATGTCTTCTGTCTACCTGTGGGAGAACTGGACGGCATATTCTTCCAATATAAGGCTGTTTGTTTGCATTCAAAACCCGTTGTTTAGAGTAGCCATCTTCACTAATGATCTCAGCTGGATCTTCTGGAGAACTTGCTGCAGCTTCTCCATCAGCACTTGCTGCTTCACCTTGTACTTTTGTTTTGTGGAGATGGCTTCTTAAACCTCATGAACAACTGTCTGCTCACTTCCAGCTTCTCTTCTGCAGTTCCCTCACCTCTCTCAGCCCTCACAGAATTGAAGAGAGTCAGGACTTTGCTCTGCATTAGGCTTTGGCTGAAGGGAATGTTGTGGCTGGTTTAGTTAATCCAGACTGCTCAAGCCTCCTGTGCATCAACATGAAGGCTGTTTTGCATTCTTACTGTTGGTGTGTTCACTGGAATAGCACTTTTACTTTTCTCCAAGAACTTTTCTTTTGCATTCAGAACTTCTCTGTTTGGTACAAGACACCCAGCTTTCAGCCTGTCTCAGCTTTTGACAGGTCCTCCTCACTAAGCTTAATCATTTCTAGCTTTGGATTGAAAGGGAGCCATGTGCAACCCTTCCTTTCATTGGAATACATCGAGGCCATTGTAGGGTTATTAGTTGGCCTAGTTTTAGTCATGTTTTGTCTCAGGGAGTAGAGAGGCCTGAGCAGAGAAAGATGAGAGAAAGGCTGGTTGTTGGAGCAGTCAAACCCCCACAGCATTTATAGAGTAAGTGTTTGGTCTTATGTGGATGTGGTTTGTACCTCCCCCAAAAATGACAGTGGTAGCATCAGAGATTGCAGGTCACTCTTAACAGATATTATATTAATGAAAAAGTCTAAGGTCAAGGTGCTGGCAAAAAGAAACTAAAAAAAATAAAAAAACAAAAACAAAACAAGAAAAGAAAAAGTTTGAAATACTGTAAGAAGGGAACAGAGACATGAAGTGAAAATGTGCTGTTGGAAAAATGGTGGGAATTAGGTGTTTGACGCAGGCTTGTCACAAACCCTCAATTTATAAAAAATCCAATACCTACAAAGCACACAGTAAAGTGAAGGGTAATAAAACGGGTATGCCTGCATCCACACACAGACGCACACACAGATGCAGAGTCATCTCTTCACTAGAGAGGGTTTAATTTTTCCCTGGCCAGCAGATAGAGTGGACGGCAAGCCTTGATTCACTGAAGAGTTAGGGGTTGGTGGCTTTTAGGCTTTTGGGGCACTGCTGTTCCTCTGGCTTCTTTCCCTTGTTCTAAGGGAGTTGTCCTTCAAGGGGGTGCCCTCACAGGCCCCAGCTTTAGTTTCATCTGCCATTACTCTCTGCTTTAACTCTTAGAGGCTTTCTGCTTGGTGTCTGGCCTCATGCCCAACTGAGGTGCTGTCAGTGCCTGGGGGCATGCGAGTGCTCTCTCGCTCCTTCCTGGCTGCCTCAGCTCCTGTTGTTGCCCCTCACTTCTGAACTGCACCCTTGCTCCTGCCCGTCTCCGTGCCTTGAGGGAGTGCATCAGGTTGTGGGGCTTCCAGTGCTTCTCTCTGGGGCCTCTGGGCCTGGGTGCCTCTCTGATCCTAGCAAAATTTCTCATTGAAGTTGGAAGCTTGGGTGACGTCAAGCCTTTTGTTAATTTTTTGCTGTTTATCTACAGCTTTTATAATTAATCCCAGTAAGGGGGTTTGAGTGGATCTGATAGAGGCTGCCTTGTCCCAGCAAAAAGTTGTCTCTGCCTGTTCTTGAGCCCGGCTTTTTTGTTGGCTTTCCGTTCTTCACGCAGGTTAATTTAACCTTCCCGTGTCCACCCACCCACCATCACCATCTGCTTTTCTGGCTTCCAGTATTTGGTGTCTGTCTCTTCGTTCATCATCTCTTTAGTTCTTTGTAGGTCTGTGCCTGTTTCTTCTAGGATGCCTCCTGCGTTTAGCGAGGTGTCGGAGAGTGGAGAAGATGCGTGTTTCTGGCTCGCTCCTGTGTTGCGTGTGTGTCTTCTCTTCCTCCTGAGGACTTGTGTTTGCGTTTTTCCACTAGGGATGTTTTGATCTCTCAGTTGACCTAGCTGAAGGGAGTGGTGAGGCCGGTGGGAATTTAATCGGTACAACTCTACAAGGAGGTGATCTGACCACAAATCACACTCTGCCTCTTTCCTCTTGGGTCCTCTGAGCAAAATGCCCAGCCACAGGTCCCTCGTCTGGCCTTCAGGAGGTGAAATGTGTGAGGGTCCCAGTGTTGCTGTGTCTGCACCTCTCAGAGGCAGAGGCGACGCTGGTGGCAGAGGTGGTTGTCCCCATTGTTCTTCTCTCTTTAGATTGCAGCTTAAATTTTATGACAGTTAAATGTGCATGTGATGGAAAAAGCCATATTACCTCTGACACTTGATGAAGGGTAGCTGTGGCTGGCACCCCTTTTTCTGCTCCTCTTGTGGCCACTGTGGATTGGGTCAGGTGCCAGTGGGTTCTGCTACTGCACCTTTAAATCATGGCTCACGGTGCTGCCCCGACCAGGCTGTCTGTTGACCGTCCACTGTGGAAGGTGACCAGGGGTGATCGAGCTCTCTCAAGGCCCTCATTATACCAGGTGTGTTTTCCATCCTTACTCTATCATGATTCTGTGCTGATTTTGGTAAGATCTGTGGTCAGTGTTCACATCATTATGCCTGAATGAGTAGTGCTACAAAGAAGCTTCCTCCGCAGCTCCCATCACCACGTGCCCACCTTCCACTGCCTTCTTGGCCACAGTTGGCACGGTGCCTTCCAGCTCAGCTCCTATCACCATGTGCCCGCCTTCCACTGCCTTCTCGGCCACAGTTGGCGCGGTGTCTTCCAGCTCAGCTCCCGTCACCACGTGCCCGCCTTCCACTGTCTTCTTGGCCACAGTTGGCACGGTGCCTTCCAGCCCAGCTCCTATCACCACATGCCCGCCTTCCACTGCCTTCTCGGCCACAGTTGGCATGGTGCCTTCCAGCTCAGCTTCTATCACCACATGCCCGCCTTCCACTGCCTTCTTGGCCACAGTTGGCCCGGTGCCTTCAAGCCCAGCTCCTATCACCATGTGCCCGCCTTCCACTGCCTTCTCGGCCACAGTTGGCGCGGTGCCTTCCAGCTCAGCTCGCGTCACCACGTGCCCGCCTTCCACTGCCTTCTTGGCCACAGTTGGTGCGGTGTCTTCCAGCTCAGCTCCCGTCACCACATGCCCGCCTTCCACTGCCTTCTTGGCCACAGTTGGCACGGTGCCTTCCAGCACACCTCACAGTGGCCCAGCTTCATTTGTGATTAGCTGAAGGTTGGGATAGACATAAAAAAGTGAAAATTGATCGCTGATCTTACCAAAATTTCTAATTGAAGTTGGAAGCATTAGTACTATTTGTTAGTGGTTATGGTGATAATTTGGTTTTAGCTCTATTGAGTGCTTAGGTTTATTACTTTTAAGTGTACATGGTTGCTACCAGCTTTTCCCACAGTTATCTGTATTTTAATATTAATAATGAGACTATCTTCTAGCATTTTTCATGTAGTTCCTTAGAAAAAGTATAATTCTAATGGTATAGCTAACATTTTGTTAAGAGATCATGTATTCAGAGTTGGTAAAATTTCCAATATGTTCTGTGTTGGGGACATGCATTTTCTGTACAAGGGGTGGAAATACGGGTTGGTATCCCCAGAGTGACACAAGTCAGCTCATTGTTCTGCTGACTGGTGCTGACTGAGGGTAGCTCACCCTGTCCCAAGCCCTGTTGTTTGCTTTGGAAGGTTCCAGGTGGGCAGGGTGGTCTCCAGACTGGGCTAGGCCTGTGGAGCCGGGCTCTGTGTTCAGTGCTGGTGTTTGTTCGCATGCTTGGTGTCTTGCTGTCCACATGCCAAGGTATCCCGTCTACAGTCAGGACAGAAGCAAGGGGGAAGGTGAAGTACCAGGGTCTCACGCTCCTTTTTCAAGAAAATGATAGCTTCCTCAGAAGACTTCTGGCTGGGCGCGGTGGCACACACCTAGAATCCCAACACTTTGAGAGGCTGAGGCTGAGGCCAGCAGGAGTTTGAAACCAGTTTGGGTAACATGGCAAGACCCTGCCTCTACTGAAAATACAAAAAAAACCAAAAAACACCCAAACAGCCAGGCGTGGTGGTATCTTCTTGTAGTTGCAGCTACTTGGGAGGCTAAGGTGGGAGGATCACTGAGTCTGGAAGGTCAAAGCTGCAGCAAGCCTAGATGGTGCTACTGCACTCCAGCCTAGGCAACCGGAGTGAGACCTCTACCAAATACCCCTTTTGTAAGGAGAGCAGGAGGACATCATAACTGGCGTAACCCAGTCCTCATTCATCCGCTGAGGCCGGCAGAGGTGATATTCTCTGGGATCCTGGGGTCTCTACTAGTCACAGAACAGATTGGGGTCCTTAGGCTGAGAAGGAAGGTGGGGCGGGGATTGGGACTTATCAGTTGTGTCTGCCACACTCTAATTTGCCTTCACCTGTTATTATATTTTCCTTTTTAAAATCCTGATTTATTTTAAGATAAAAATGACATCCCTGTCTATAAAAGGAAAGAGATGGTTAATTTCCTTTTCCTGGGTCCTATACTGTAGCGATTTGGGGGTTCATACCTTAGCTGTTGTTTACTGCGGCTCAGTTCTAATTCTCGCATTTGTTGATAGTTTAATTGAGTGGAGGATCTAATATTGAACTCCCATAGTTCTTTTAATGTTGACTTTGAAATATATGCTATAGCTAATGAATGTTGATAACATGTTTTTGTCACTTTAAACCTTTTATCATATTTTTATTTTGCAGTAAATTCTATAAAATTTCATCCCTCAGAGCAGTTGGCTCTCACTGGTATGTTGATTTTTTTCTTTATTGAACAAAATGATAGATGGTCTTAAAACAGCTATAAATATTCCTTTCTTATCAGTAGCAGAATAATCCATGGCGTTCATGAAAGTTATTAGTTGATATTTTATGAATTAAATGAGACGTGGATACGGGGAAGTACATTGAGCAGTGCTTTCTGGAGACAGTGGTGGATCGCAGTTAGAGTGATGGTGAGATGAAGGTGATTCATGGTCATCCCGAAATCTTTCGTACAGCATGTTTGTTGTTTACCTGTGGTTCCTGTAGACGGGCAGCTCCGTGAGGGCCTGTGGCTGTCATTGTGTTCCCTTATCTTCTATGCATCTGATATGGAGAAAGGAGAAAAGTAGAAAAGCAGCACAGAGACAGCATTTTTACTTCTTTCTGGATAATTTACCTACACTGTAATAGCTTGGATAGGGTAGTTGTAAAAACGTGCCTTCCTTGGTTGCTTTTGGAGGGTAGCTTAACAGTCCTGAGGGCTTTTCCTGTGAGATTCTCAGACTCCCACAGTTGCCTGTGGTAGTCCACGGACATTGGCAATCATCTTGAAGGCTGTGTTTGGGTTTCTATAGACCAGAGGTCCCTACGCTTTTTCTGTAAAGGAATAGTGAGTGAATATTTTCATCTCTGTGGGACATTCAGGCTGTCTCCAATTCTCCTGTTGTAGCATGAAAGCAGTGGACGGTACACTGATGAGTGGACATGGCTGTGTTCGGCAGCTTTATTCACAAAAATGGGTGGCTGCCTGAGTTTTGCCTACGGGCCAGATTGTGCTGACCAGGGATAGAACACCGAGGTTGAGATGACTGGCCGCTTTGTGCAGGTGAAGTTGTGTGAGAAGGAGCCCCAGTGACAAGTACTTCCACTGTGTGTGATACAGTGAGTCACGCGGTTTGGTTGGAGTTTTTATGTCAGAGAGAAATGTGGGAGGGTTAGACTGAGAGTCATTTTGAGCAGTCTAGACCACATAGCTAATTTTCACCTTAATACGTATGTGAAGACTAAAGCAAGCAAGGAGTTTGAATCTTCTGAAGTTGGTGGTTTGTTGGATGATGGGAAAAGGGGACAAAGGAGACTGGGGCAGTTAGACGTGTCCAGATTCAAACCAAAGGGCTGGGAAAGAGGGTGAAGCCAGACACATCCAGGAACTGATGAAGACTTGGAAGCATGTGGTAATGGGCGTAGAGAAAGGAGAATTAGACTGGATTGGGCATGACGTTGATGTGAGGAGCCATTGCAAGTCAGGGCAGCTCCTTTAGGGAAGTTTGGTGCAGTGAAGAGAAGGTGGAAGCCAGCCTGCCCCGTGTTGGGGAGACGTGACCGTTCCGGTGTCGGAGGCGTGTTCTGTGCCTGCAGTGTTGTCCTTTGTCTTTCCAGTCCTCAGTCAAAGTGTTTCCTCGGCTGGAGCCGCACAGGTGAGGAGTGCTGATAGGTGCAGCCCATTGAGAGGTTGCCTCAGGGTTGAATGGATGGAGATGAGCGTCCCTTTCCCCTGCGTCTCAGAGTTGATCACAGCTCTAGGTTCCGGTATAATAGGGCTTCTTAGGTTAGACAGATGGAGAGTAAAGTCTACTGTTGGTCCATTTTCTCTGAACCTCTGGGGCTTTCTATGCTAAAATGAAAAGTGAAGTAGTTTTATAAGTCATCATTATCTCATCAATTTTGCACATATACTCTGTTCTTAATAGCATTGTGCAGTCTCAGAAAAGAGTTACTTAAGTGAAAAGTACATTCATTTCACTAAGTGGTCACTAAGCCGGAAAGGTCTGACTGCTGCTGCTCAGCTGGCGTGCAGTGACGAGCACGTTTTACCATGGTCTGTGCCTTGGGTAATTGTCCCCGATTTCTCTCTTCAGCTTCTGGAGATCAGACTGCTCATATCTGGAGATACGCGGTGCAGCTGCCGACACCCCAGCCTGTCGCTGACACTAGTGTAAGCACCTTTCCTTACCTGCGAGCGCGTAGGATGCTGATGTCTGCAAATCTGAGATCCGTTTATAATATCTGCCATGGGCTGAATGTTTGTGTCCCCCCAGATTCAGCGTTGAGGCCTTCACGCCCGGTGTGGCTGACTTTGGAGCTGGGCCTCTAAGGAGGTAGTTGAGGTTCAGTGAGGTTGCATGAGGTCCACTGGGATTAGTGTCCTCCCATGAGGAGACAGTGGAGAGCTCGCATGTGTCCTCCGTCTCTCTGTCACTGTCTGTGTCACGTACGGGCAGAGCCAGAGGGCGGCCATCTGTACGCCGTAAGGAGAGACCACGTCAGAACCTGAATTGGCAGGAACCTTAATCTTGGACTTCCAGCCTCCAGAACTGTGAGAAAATACATTCCTGTTTTTGTAAGTCACCCAGTCTATGGTATTTTGTTATGGCAGCCAGAGCAAACTAAGACAGATTTTAGTACCACAAGTAGGGGTGCTGCTTAAGAAATGCCTAAAAATGAGGACGTGGCTTTGGAATCGGGAATGGGTAGTTGCTGGAGGAGTTTTCAGGTATCTGCTGGAGAAAGCCTCGATGGCTGTTAAGGGTTTGTTGGTAGAAATATGGACATTAATGATGACTCTGGTGAAAGCTCAGAGAAGAAAGGGGAGAGCTGTAGGGAAAGCTTCTAGCGTCCTGGAGAACGCAGGTATCATAGACAGAATGTTGTGGAAAGTGGATGTTGAAGGCCCTTGTGGTGAGGCCTCAGAGGAGGCGAGGGACAGGTTACGGGAACCAGAGGAAAGTGATGCTTGTTAAAAAATGGCAGAGGACTTGACTGAGCCGAGATCTCGTGAGTGAAATGTTAAAGGTGCAGCCTGGCTTCTCTCCTCGCATATAATAAAGTGTGAAAGGATGGAGACACGCCAAAGGAGTTGTTAAGGGAAAGGGGACGAGAACTTGTGAGATTAGGGACATTCCCAGCCTATGCCTGTTACAAAAAAATGAGAAAGCCAGTTCCGAAGAGAACATGCAGGGTTTGTCTGAACAGCCAGTTGACAGGGAGGTGAGTGTGGGTGGGAGCCACAGCTTTAAGCACACACCACAGCAGGAACCAGGAGTGGAGATGGGATTACACCCAGAGACCCTGCCAGCTCCAACAAGAGGGGACACACTGGAACATGGAATTACACCTAGAGACCCTGCCAGCTCCAACTAGAGGGGACACGGAGGGGACATGAGAGAAGACCCAGAGACCCCAGCCAGAGACCCCGCCAGCTCCAACCAGAGGGGACACCATGGGGACAGAATGAAGGAAGGCATCAGACTGCTGGGATTCCACAGCACAGAAACCAGCACTGCCTGGCCAAGAACCTTTAGCACCCTTCAAGACAAGGGAAGAACGCCCCCGAAAGTGATTCTGAGTTTGGCAGGGCTGCAGGTCTCACCGCAGGCTCAGGATGAGGGCCTGTTTCTTCCTTGGTTTCAAAGCATGGGGCCTCCATGGTTTCAGGGCCTGGCTGCCATGGTCCAGTGTTGGGGGGGTGGAGCTGCCAGGCCGAGCCAAGGGGGTGATGCCCTCACCCCAGCTTCCCTGGAGGGTGGCATCCAGCCCAGGAGGAGCTCTCTGGAGCCCGAAGAGCTTATGGAGTTTGCCCTGTGGGGTTTTGGACTTGCTTGGGCCCCACCACCCTTTCCCTTTTATCTCTTTCTCTCTTGGAAAGGAGTGTCTGTCCCATCTATGCCCGACTGTTGTATTTTGGGAACCCGTAACTTGTTCGGCTTCAGTGGTTCATGGCTGGAGGGGAGCTCAGCTTCAGGATGGGCGAGTTGCACCCTGAGTCCCACCCATTCCTGATTCAGATGATGTTTTGTTGACACTCGGGATTTCACATCTCACACCTCAGTGCAGATGGCTGGAATAAGACTTCTGGGGCTTTTCGGCCGGGCGCGGTGGCTCAAGCCTGTAATCCCAGCACTTTGGGAGGCCGAGGCGGGTGGATCACAAGGTCGAGAGATCGAGACCATCCTGGTCAACATGGTGAAACCCCGTCTCTACTAAAAATACAAAAAAATTAGCTGGGCATGGTGGCACGTGCCTGTAATCCCAGCTACTCAGGAGGCTGAGGCAGGAGAATTGCCTGAACCCAGGAGGCGGAGGTTGTGGTGAGCCGAGATCGCGCCATTGCACTCCAGCCTGGGTAACAAGAGCGAAACTCCGTCTCAAAAAAAAAAAAAAAAAAAAAAAAAAAAAAAAAAAAAAGACTTCTGGGGCTTTTGGGATGGGAGGAGTGCATTTGCCCTGCAAGAAAGATGTTAATTTTGGTGGGGGTGGGGAGCGGGACACGATGTTCTCAACTAAATGTCTCTGTCCCCTTGAATTTTGTGTTGAAGCCCTAATCCCCAGTGTGGCTGTCTTTGGAGATGGGATCTCTAAGGAAGTGGTTGAAGTAAAATGAGGTTGAAGCAAAATGAGGTTGAAGCAAAATGGAGGGGCTGCCCTGATCCCACAGGATGAGTGGTCTTTACACATGCGCTTGCTTCTCCCTCTCTCTCCCTCTTTCCCTCTTTCTCCCCTTTCCTCCCCGCTTCTCCCTGTCGCCCTCTCTCCATGCTAATATTAATGAAAGCCCCCTGTGGGTGCATGGCAGGATGGCAGTGCCATGCACTGGAAGAGAAGCTGCACTGGTTGGCACCTTCGTCGTGGACTTGGAGTCTCCAGAACTGGGAAAAAACTAATTTCTGTTGTTTAAGCTGCTTGGCCTGTAGTCGTGTGTTTTGGCGGCCTGCACTGACTGAGTCAGCACCTAGAAAGGTGCTCCTTCACTTGTGTGTGCGCATGTCGGCTTCAGTCTTCCTTTCTACAGACAGGGAACATTTACCATCCAATCTCATATTTTATGTTTGGATGCTGTTTCTTACTGTTTCCTGTTTAATATTAGACATCTGGGGTATCTTCGTGAACTTTGATCATACCAGTTAATGGCTTGTATGAACGGTTTCATCTGTGTGATATTAGACATCTGGTGTGTATTCCATGGACTTTCATCACTCCGGTTAATGGCTTGTATGACATCATTTTTATGTGGTTCAAATTTAAACGTAGGTAATGAAAGATGTTGCCTATTGAGAGGAACGAATTCATGTACTTATCCCATAAATTCATAAAATTCTTCACTTACTGTTTGCCTCGCACTGCTGCTGTAGCCCAGCCCCTGTGTTTATGATCACAGAGGCCTGAATGTTCCTCTGAGTGCAGTTGCCTTCCTGCTTTCAGTGACAGGATGAACGTTGGTGGCGTGGTCTTCCTGCATGCTCAGCCCTCCCTGTGCGCCGGAGCAGGTGGGAACGACGCCAGGCAGACGGTGTGAATGATGCGCATGTCTAGAAGTTTCAGTTTGCATTGGGCTGTGGTCGTTGCAAGGACGAAAGTAATCTTGTTTTGATATTTTCATCTTGGAGTATTCCTTGACTTTACAGCTTCGTGAAATTCTAAACACTGTTCTATGTGGAGATAGTTAGCAGTTAATGAATTCCAGTGATAAATGAGTTTTCTTTAGTTGAGAGGTCCTAATAGTTCATTTTTAACTGAATGTATTATGTATTTTAACACATTTTTGTTCTTAGTGGAATTACCAGACTATTCATTCTGTAGCTCAGATTGCTGTCCATTAACACGCACGTTTGGTGATGAAACCAGTGAAATGTGCATTGATGGTAGGTGCGGTGGAAAGGTGAGGAGGGCGAGCCTTGATGCTCGGGAAATTCAGAGGACTTAACGTACGGATTGTTTTCCACGTAAAATAAGAAAAATACTGGTTTTCTCAGAGGGAAGATTCATGTACAGTACTTTCATTAAAAACACCTAATAGTTTACTTAGAATGTTCTCCTAATTTTATTTTCTTCTTTACTACTTGGCTTGTGTTGGGTGAGTACATGTCTCATGTTGCTAGTTGCCACCTCAAGATTTGGGGCTGGTGTTATGGGGGTCTAAGTTAAAGATGAACCTCTGTGGTGTGCCATGACTTGAGCTGTCCCGAGCAGGCACAGTTGTGTGGGGCCCTCTCTAGTGAAGAGTAGATAATACAGCCGCCTCCTGGTATCGGCAGGGGAGTCATTCCAGGACCTGCAGATGCCAGAGCGCATGGACACCCACCCAGGTCCCTGCATAACCGGGTGTCGGCAGGGGATGTTTCTAGGACTGTATGCCCACAGATGCCAGAGCCTGTGGATGCCCAAGTCCGTGCATAAACAGCATGGTAGGCTCCTTCCAGCATTGCTGGATGAAATGAGCCTCCTTAGGTCGAAAGCCGCCTTGTTTTCTGAAGCTTTTGCCGGCCAGTCTTGACTCTGATTTGCTTAGCAGTTCTAATTTTGAATTTCAATACAAACTATAATCTGTTGAAATCTGTGTTCATCTTGAATCATAGCTTTTGGACAGACATCTTGTTTTTTAAAATTTCCATCTGTGAGTTTTGCTTGACATCTACAATGTTGATGAGGAAGTGTTTGGGTGGCACGGTGGAAACAGAGTTAGGTCACCAGCAGAATGACTGTTGCACCCAAGTGAGGTCACGCCGAGTTACTAGTCTAACTTCATTGGGCTTCTTTTTCCCCTCGGAAGGAGTCTGCCCCGTCGCGGCTCCTGGCTCTTTGCTGTGCTCCCTTTGGAGCCGTTTTCCCAGCCGTAGGTAGTGCTGTCACCTGTCACCGCCAGCCTTCAAGGTGGCATCCGAGTCCCTTCCCCCCGCTGCAGCCTGTCTGGGGGCCCTCTGCCAGCCTTGTGAGCCTCACGCCCCTCGTGTCCCTGACCCCCTGTCCCGACTGAGCTGCACATGCCACCCTGAACTTGCTGTCTGCTTTCTTTGTGCCACCCCCTCTGGAAACGTCACCATCTGTCACCCGGTGCTTTAGACCAAACACCTTTACATGGTCTGTATTGTTCTCTTACTGCGTGTAAAATCAGCCTGTCAGCAGCTCCTGAAGCAGAGGGGGCTTCGGTTCTCTCCTCCCACCCTGCTCCAGGCTGCTCTCTGTCCCCAGTGCTTCTCTCATCTCCATTGATCTCCCCACGTTGTTTTCTGGGGCTGTCGTAACAAAGTGCCATAGGCGGGTGGCTTCTAAACAACAGGCCCACGTTCCTGCAGTCCCAGAGGATGGAGCCGAGACCAGGATGTGAGCAGGGCCGCTTCCTGCTGAGGCCTCTCCATGGCTCCGAGATGGTGTTTTCACCCTGGGTCCTTCATCCCTCTGGGAGTGTCTTGTGTCCTCATCCCTTCTTAGGAGGACGTTAGGCCTCTTGGATTAGGGTCCACTCTCCTGGCCCCATCTTACCTTAATCACCCCTTTCAATTCCCTTTCTCTAAAGAGCCACATTCTGAGGTCCTGGGTGAGGACTTGAGCACAGGAATGTGGGTCTACAGCCATGTCCATAGCAGCCCCGTGTTCACGCAGCACATGCCAGGCACCACGTCCCACACACAGCCGCCTGGTGGTTTGGCATCACACGTGGAATAAAGGCCAGCGTCCTTTCCACAGTCTCCTGGGATGACACGAGCTGTTCTTGATGCGGCCTCTGACTTTGCCTCCTGTAGCTGTTCTGCGCATGTGGAAATGCTCCTCAGCACAGGCGGGCCCTAACGTTCCTCTCCTCATGCCCGACTCAAGTGTCACCTCATCACAGAGCCCTCCTCAGTCATTCCATGGTAAATAGCAGCCCCCGACCAATCTGCCCCTTGTCCTGTTTTGTTTTACTCCACAGAGCTTACTGCCACCTTACTCTGTGTGTGTTTATGTGACGTGTGTTCCTGTCCTGCCGTGTGTCCCTGTGACGTCCGTCCCTGTTGACATGTGTTCCCGTCCTGCTCTGTCTCTGTGACGCGTGTTCCCGTCCTGCTGTGTGTTCCTGTGATGTGTGTTCCCGTCCTGTGTGTCTCTGTGACGTGTGTTCCTGTCCTGCTCTGTCTCTGTGACGCGTGTTCCCGTCCTGCTGTGTGTCTCTGTGATGTGTGTTCCTGTCCTGCTGTGTGTCTCTGTGACGTGTGTTCCTGTCCTGCTCTGTCTCTGTGACGCGTGTTCCCGTCCTGCTGTGTGTCTCTGTGATGTGTGTTCTTGTCCTGCTCTGTCTCTGTGACCTGTGTTCCCGTCCTGTGTGTCCCCATCCTGCTCTGTCTCTGTGATGTGTGTTCCTGTCCTGCTCTGTCCCTGTGACGTGTGTTCCTGTCCTGCTGTGTGTCCCTGTGACGTGTGTTCCCGTCCTGCTCTGTGTCCCTGTGACGTGTGTTCCCGTCCTGCTGTGTGTCTCTGTGATGTGTGTTCTTGTCCTGCTCTGTCTCTGTGACGTGTGTTCCCGTCCTGTGTGTCTCTGTGATGTGTGTTCCCATCCTGCTCTGTCTCTGTGATGTGTGTTCCTGTCCTGCTCTGTCCCTGTGACGTGTGTTCCTGTCCTGCTGTGTGTCCCTGTGACGTGTGTTCCCGTCCTGCTATGTGTCCCTGTGATGTGTGTTCCCGTCCTGTGTGTCTCTGTGATGTGTGTTCCTGTCCTGCTCTGTCCCTGTGACGTGTGTTCCTGTCCTGCTGTGTGTCCCTGTGACGTGTGTTCCCGTCCTGCTCTGTGTCCCTGTGACGTGTGTTCCCGTCCTGCTATGTGTCCCTGTGATGTGTGTTCCCGTCCTGTGTGTCTCTGTGATGTGTGTTCCTGTCCTGCTCTGTCTCTGTGACGTGTGTTCCCGTCCTGCTGTGTGTCCCTGTGATGTGTGTTCCTGTCCTGCTCTGTCTCTGTGACGTGTGTTCCCGTCCTGCTGTGTGTCCCTGTGATGTGTGTTCCCGTCCTGTGTGTCTCTGTGATGTGTGTTCCTGTCCTGCTCTGTCCCTGTGACGTGTGTTCCCGTCCTGCTGTGTGTCCCTGTCCTGCTGTGTGTCCCTGTGACGTGTGTTCCTGTGATGCTCTGTGTCTCTGTGACACATGTTCCCATCCTGCCGTGTATCCCTGTGATGTGTGTCCCTGTGACGTGTTCCCGTCCTGCCATGTGTCCCCGTGACATGTGTTCCTGTCCTGCCATGTGTCCCTGTGACGTGCGTCCCTGTGACGTGTGTTCCTGTCCTGCTCTATGTCTCTGTTACGTGTGTTCCCGTCCTGCCGTGTATCCCTGTGATGTGTGTCCCTGTGACGTGTTCCCGTCCTGCCATGTGTCCCCGTGACGTGTGTTCCTGTCCTGCCATGTGTCCCTGTGACGTGCGTCCCTGTGACGTGTGTTCCTGTCCTGCTCTATGTCTCCGTGACGTGTGTTCCCATCCTGCCATGTGTCCCCCGTCCTGCCATGTGTCCCTGTGACGTGTTCCCGTCCTGCTGTGTGTCCCTGTGATGTGCGTCCCTGTGACGTGTGTTCCTGTCCTGCTCTATGTCTCTGTGATGTGTGTTCCCATCCTGCCATGTGTCCCTGTCCTGCCATGTGTCCCTGTGACGTGTGTTCCCGAGTAATGTGTATTTGCTCGTGACATTTGTGTGTTAGGCCATTCTTGCATTGCTATTAAAAAATACCTGAAACTGGGTGATTTATAAAGAATTGAAGAGGTTTAATTGGCTGGTTCTGCAGGCCATATGGGAAGTGTGGCGCCAGCATCTGCTTGGCTTCTGGGGAGGCCTCAGGGAACTTGGAGCTTTCAGTCACAGCAGAAGACGAAACAAGAGGTGTGTCCCATGGTGGAAGCAGGAGCAAGGCAGGGGTGCCACACATCCGAACAGCCGGATCTCGTGAGAGCTCACTCCCTGTTGCGAGGTCAGCCCCAGGCTAGGAGGAATCCTCCCCCATGAGCCAGACACCCCCACCAGGTCTTCCCTCCAACACAGGAGATTCCAGTTCAGCCTGAGATTTGGGCCGGGACGGATTTCGAAACTGTCGGTTCCAGCTTGTGTACATATGACATACGTCCCTATACTAGCGTGTGTGTGAGAGTGTGTGTGTGTATGTGTGTCTGGTCTCTTTCTTTTGCTAGAATGTAAGTTCTCTGAGGGCAGGGGCTTTGCCAGCGGTCTTCACTCCAGAGTTCTTACCTGCTAGATTGAGCGCAGTTTTGCTTGTGTGCATGTCAGAAGCCGTCTGTCCTCTTCTGCACTGTGTAAGCAGCACCTGGGCTCTGGGAGTGAGGGGTGGCACTCTGTTAGCCCCTGATAAATATTTGTTGGATGGATATACAGATTTTCTTACAGAGCTGGCTCTAATGTGTTTATTTACCCTTGGCCTTTGACAGGAGACTTGATGTTACAAAGGAAAGTAGACTCTAATAATTGTAGCAATAGAATTCTAAGTGTATTTTAAATAGGCTTTTGAGCATGAACATGCTTCTTTTTTGTAATATGATACATTACTGACTTTCACTTGTATTTGTTTAGTTTCATATTGTATTTCTACTAATAAGTGATGAAACCGTAAATATTGAAGTCACTTTATTTGCCATTCTGTTGGTTAGTGGAAATAAATGGCAGTTCAGTTGACAACATGGTACATTCCACTTTTTTTTGTATGCGATAGTGAGAGAGTTGGTGGGTTTTCAGCGGGCAGCAGTTATGGGTTGGAGGAGGACACACTCGTCACAGTGGCCACACCGGGCTCCTGGTTGTGGCTGTCGTGGTACGTCCTCAGGAGACGAATGAGAGCAGTCTGTTTTGTCGCTGCGTTGGAAGAAACTCAAGATTCCCAGGAAATGTCTTTCTTTTCTGGTCTTCTCTTTGGCAGCAGATATCTGGGGAAGATGAAGTAGAGTGCTCCGACAAGGATGAGCCCGACCTTGACGGGGACGTGTCCAGCGACTGCCCCACCATCCGCGTCCCGCTGACATCCCTCAAGAGCCACCAAGGCGTGGTCATCGCCGCAGACTGGCTGGTCGGGGGGAAGCAGGCTGTGACTGCCTCATGGGACCGGACGGCAAACCTGTATGATGTGGAGACGTCTGAGCTCGTTCATTCTCTGACAGGTGCCTGAGTTCTTTGCGTCCTCAGCCTCCTGGCTGTGCACGTTAGTTTATGTCCATGTGTTATGTCTGACCTTGCCAGTTACTTCTTGACCAGAATGAGGCTCAGTCCTTTTGGCTCCTCTGTGGTAATTTTTGGAGATTCTTTGTATTAATAATAGAACTATTGATAGCTAAATGTATTTTATCTTCAGGTGATTTTAAATGTAGCATGTAGTATGTAGATATTGGAAATGGGGTGGTTGATTAGTTTCTCATTGCTCTATAACAAATTTCCACAAACTTAGTGTCTTAAAACGACAGGAATTACTACCTCATGGTTTCCCAGGTCAGGGATTCTGGGTCTGTGGCAGCTGCTCATATCCCTGGGGCTTGAAGACCCCAGGGTGTGGCCTGGGCGGGGCCTCCCTGAGGCTGCGATCTTCTTCCTAGCCTGCTGTCGTTAGAGAAGCCCCTTCCTGCGCTGGTGCCTGAGGCCCCGTCTTGCCGGCTGCTTGCTGGGGCTCCTCTGGGCATCTAGAGGCTGTGCCTGGCCCTGGGAGCCCCTGCACAGGGCATGCCTTTCCTCACACAGCAGCTGCTTTCCTCCTCGGCTGGAGCTCCTCCCGTGCTGCTCCAAACTCTCCGACTTCTGGGACCCTTTCTAAGGGCCCATTGGGTTAGGCCAGGCCACCCAGGACAATCTCCCTTTAACTCAAGGTCAACCGATTTAGGGACCTTAATTACATCTGCAAAATCCTTTTTGCTTTATAATGTATCATAATTACCAGAAAGATAATCTCACCCTGTTCGCAGGCTCTGAAGGGAAGGGCGTTAGGCAGGGTGGGTACGAGCCAGGTGACTTGGGGTGTGTACAGGACAGGGTGGCTTAGAGTATGTGCGGGGTGGTTGGGGAGGTGACTAAGGCAGGGCGTGTACGGGGCGGGGTGGCTTAGGGTGTGTATGGGGCAGGGGTGGCTTAGGGCGTATGCAGGGTTATGGGGGTGGTGGTTTAGGCAGGGCATGTACAGGGCAGGGTGGCCTGGAGCCGTCTTGGGGTTCTGTCTGCTGAAGTTGCTTCTGTGAATCTGTCTGTAAGTGCATTTCCTGCAGGAGCTTAAAGATTATATTTGACTGAGAACCCACAGCATTCTATCATTAGAAGATATTCTGGAAGCAAAGAATTAAGATTTAAGGGGTTCTCATGTTCAGCCTGTTAATTCTCCTGACCTTCTAACTGTTAGGGTCAGAAAATGGATTATGCACCTGCTTAGTTCCCTGTTCCTTTGATGTGGATGGCTGAAACGACTTCAGCTTTTGAGGAAAAACTGGCCCCACCGTGACCCACATGCTGCCGAGTGAGTCCGTTAGGTCAGGTTCACCTTCTCAGATGGCTGCTTGGGTTCTCGTGCTGTTGAAAAGCTTCACTCTCAGTGCACCTGCGGGGAATGACCTTGCGTTTTGCCATCTTGGTTGCAGGGCATGACCAGGAGCTGACGCACTGCTGCACACACCCCACCCAGCGGCTCGTGGTGACCTCCTCCCGTGACACGACTTTCCGCCTCTGGGATTTCAGGGACCCCTCCATCCACTCGGTGAATGTTTTCCAGGGACACACGGAGTGAGTTGTGGTAGTTTCAACGTCTCTCTCTAGTCATGGAAAAACGTTCTGTGGGTTGACATGAAAACTTAATTCCAGCCTTAATTTTCAATGTTTCCAACTCTAGTATCTTTCAGAGAATGACTGTCTTTCAGACTCTACTATTCTTTTTCTAACCATTTAGCTCCATTTTGGCTGTTTCAAAGGATCTAGGAGATTAAGAGAAGGCACCCTCCAGTGTTCTCTCAAGAAGTTTAATGAGGACATCATGGGGCAGTGGGCGGAGAGGGTTAGAGAAGAGCAGGGCTGCCAGAGCCTGTGGCTGAGGACTGGGGCGGCCAGGTACCATGGGGGCTGCTGGAGCTGTTTACCACCATCCACAGGGCTTGTGGCTGAGCACAGGGCTGGCCATGCCACCATGGGGGCTGCTGCAGCTGTTACTGCCACCCACAGGGCGTTTCCTGAATCTTTTCCATTTAGTTTTTGTTATTACATGTGTCTTCATGGTATATTCTGGGAGAAGGTACACACACAGACATGCATGCAGATATAGACCCTCGATCCAGTGTGTCCCTGTCTGCTTGTGGTTTTCTCTAGCAACTCATAAGAGTAAAGTCTTAACAGGACTCTTCAGTTCTTTCCATGACTGCCTCCTTCCCTGAGTCTGGCCCTGCTCAGTCATTGATGAGACCGTCTGCCCAGTCACGGAGGCTGTCTACTCAGAGTGTTCCTGGTTCTTCTCTTTTAACCTCCGCTCCCCATTACCCCATCATGCCACATGTGGCCCACTGGTCAGTCTCCTGCCAGCCGTGCTTGTGGGGTCTGTCCCGGCTGCTCCTCGCTCCTCCAAGCCCCCCAGACTTCTCACCACTGCTGCTCCACACTCCAGCCTCTGCATAAGTGCATTCAGGAGTGGTTTATAAATGAACATTTGTGTATTTGGCTACTCTAAATATGAAATTTGGTTTCATCTGTTTAACGTTATTTACTAAATTTTAGATTTAATGTTCAAAATGTTAGTAAGATGTTAGGAAAATAGGACTTTTTTTATTTTAAAAATTTTTATTTAGTTATTTATATTCTGAGGTGGAGTCTCACTCTGTTGCCCAGGCTGGAGTGCAGTGGCGTGATTTCAGCTCACTGCACCCTCTGCCTCCCGGGTTCAAGCGATTATCCTGCCTCAGCCTCCCGAGTAGCTGGGATTACAGGCACCTCTATCATGCCCGGTTCGTTTTTATATTTTTAGTAGAGATGGGTTTTCACCATGTTGGCCAAGCTGGTCTCGAACTCCTGCCCTCAGGTGATCTGCCCCCTCAGCCTCCCAAAGTGCTGGGACTACAGGTATGAGCCACTGCACCCGGCCAGAACAATGTTTTTTTTTTTTTTTTTTTTTTTTTTTGAGACAGAGTTTCGCTCTTGTTACCCAGGCTGGAGTGCAATGGCGCGATCTCGGCTCACCGCAACCTCCGCCTCCTGGGTTCAGGCAATTCTCCTGCCTCAGCCTCCCGAGTAGCTGGGATTACAGGCACATGCCACTATGCCCAGCTAATTTTTTGTATTTTTAGTAGAGACAGGGTTTCACTATGTTGACCGGGATGGTCTCGATCTCTCGACCTCGTGATCCACCCGCCTCGGCCTCCCAAAGTGCTGGGATTACAGGCTTGAGCCACTGCGCCCGGCCCAGAACAATGTTTTTAAAGAGAAGCTTGAGATTGGAAAGCTGATACCTTGACTTCGAGGCTGGAGCTGATACTTTGACTGTGAGGCTGGAACAGGAGCAAGCAGCAGTCACGACCATGCGTGGATATCTTTTTGTCAGCCTGGGTCTGTTCCGGGGGCGTCACACGCATTCAAAGGCTCCGTTCTGACATGAGGTTGGCATTTATTCTGCCAGCGTGGGCAGTGATAGCCACAGTAATGTAGGCCTCCTGGCAGTCAGTGGCTGAACACAGCACTGTGCTGTTGCCGCACCAGTGTGCAGCGGGCGCCAAACTGGGCTCCCGTGACTCCACCGTGTGCCAGACCCTGCTGCAGGCCAGCTCGTAGGTGAGGGAGACGTCACGGCTTGGGGAGTGCTGCTTCCCATGCGTGTTAGCTTGGATGGGGTGCTCCCTGATGTCTACCAGACGCTGAGCGGCAAAGCCCTGTCTGGTCCTGGATTCGCCACCTGGCAACACTGTGCAGGGTGTGGCGGGGGGCCACATGGCTGCATGCTGCTCTGCATGAGAGTTATCAGACGGGCATTTGGGGTCCAGAGGACGGGCAGAGCAAGATGGTCTTACTCCTGCGCCTGCAAGGCTTTCCTCAGCTTTTTGCTTAGAAAAGTTTCAAGGCTACATAAAAACCAACAGAGTGGAACGGTGTGCCCACTAACCCTCTACCTAGGCCTGCCTGTTGTATTGCCACAGGGCTCTTTACATGCATGTACACACCTCTCTGTAACACACACGCCCACTGACCCTCCACCTAGTACACATCTGTCTCTAACACACACCCACTAACAATCCACCTGGGCTCACCTGCTGTACCGCATCACTGCTGTCTCTTTACATACGTGTGTGCACCTCACTCTCTAACACATGCTTGTGTGTTTTCTTTGGCTGAGCCCTTTAAAAGGAAAACTTCAGCATGCATTTCCTAAGAAAAAGGATGTTCTCCTAATATAGTACCATTGTCCGAATAGGAAAATTAGCAAAAATTCTATAGCATCCTTTATCTGGCCCATATTTAAATCTACTCATTTCTCTCCAAAATGTCTTTGATACTTTTTTCACATCTAGGATTTTATCAGGATTCTCTCATCACATTTAGATATTAAATCCTTTGGTTTCTTTTAATCTAGAATGGTCTGTCCCCCATTTTTTGTTACCTTTTAGGACGTTGAGTTTTTGGTGAAGAATCCACACCCGCTCTTTTGTACATCCCTCTTTCTGCATTTTTCTCATGCTTTCCTTTGTTGCTGATGGTGCCTCTCTGCTGCGCTGATGGTGTGCTGAGGCGCTCCTGTGGTTAAGGTGGTGTCCACAGATCTTCCTGTCAGAGGTGCTCTCCTGTTTCAGATAGTGAAGGGACACTTCACTATCTGTGCATGTTGACTTCCCTAGTGACCTTGCCTTGGCCCAGGGCCTCAGCTCATTGTTAAGTTGAGTCCTGCAGAAGGGGATCCTTGTAATTCTGTCTATACTGTTTGGTTGGCACTGTGTTCTGTGTGTTAGCTAGCATAGATACCTGTACTTTCTTGGTGTTGGCGGATCCCTGCAGTGGTTTTGTTAGTGTAGACGTGCACTTTCTTTGTGTTGGTGGTTATGATCCCTGGGGTGTTTTGTTAGTATAGACGGGTGTACTTTGTTGGTGTTGGTGGTCGTGATCCTGTGGTGTTTTGTTAGTGTAGACATGTGTACTTAGTTGGCGGTTGTGATCCTGTGGTGGTTTTGTTGGTCTGGACACAGCACTTTGTTGGTGTTTTTGGTTGTGATCCTGCGGTGGTTTGGTTTTGGCTGCTGAGTGCACCGCCCCCACCCCCGTGGGACCTGCAGGGCCCGGAGTGCTGCCTGGGCCCTGAGTGGCTCCCTGCCCCAGGCTGGGAGGACCCAGCAGCTCTCACTACATTGACTCTGGTCACCTGTATGGAGCACAAAAATCTGTCAGAGCTTTGAGAATTGGGAGTGGGCGTTGAGGTGAAAATGGACCAGACCTGCCTGGGCTAGGCTTACTCAGATCCTTTATGCTTTCTCTTTTCTTACTCAAATGATCATGAACTCTAGCATATTTTGTTGATGTGTACATCCAGAAATTAGTTTTGAAAAGATCCCTCTTTCGTGCTAATTTTATTGCTATGTTGGGTGGGTCCACTGGGCTCCTGGGCATCCAGCTTCCCCTCACTGGCCTGGTGCTTCCTCCGCTGTGCTCATGAAGGCTGAGGGCTTGGTCAGCAGGTGGAGCCATGGACGCCTTTATTGAACAGAAACTCTTCCTTCCCGACATCAGATCAGCCGTAAGCCTCTAGACATGCCTCATAATGAGAAAAGCAGGAAATGAGACATTTTACAAAAATGTTTTATCTGAGGAGTATTCTTAGTCAATAATGCTTGCCTGGCATGGGTTTTGTAGGTTCGAGCACATACGACAAATCAAACCTTCAGAGTGCATGATCCTTACAGATGTGTAGAGGTTTGCATCTGCACCATAGCACACCTGGATTAAGTCCAGGGTGCGGGTTTAATTCCTGATTTAAGAGCAGAGGAATGGCCAGGTTGTGTGTGTGTTCTGTACTAGTCTGGGACATTCTTGACTTGTAAGAGCACACCCTGGGCCTCCTGCCTTCGCTGCCACCGTGTCATTCTGAGGGACCCTCTCCTTGGGGGGCTTCTCTGCAGCAGTCACGGCATCGCTAAGGACATCTGTGAGCTTCCAGTGTGTGTCCAGCCTGTTAGTGCCCAGACCTGAGGGGCCTGGGACCGAACTCGGTATCTGCCACCCTGACGGGTGGGAATGTTCTCCCGCAGCCTGGCGTGGGCCTGCAGTACTGCTTCCTCATCTAGGAAGGCGTTCTGTCGGTTTTCCAGGTTGATCCGAGTCCTCCTCACCAGTTCTTTTCCTGAGCATTGAAAGTAAAACTCAGACATGCAGGTCTTCGGAAGTGTGCTGTTTTTGTGATGTAGCCCTGAAAAGTTGTCTGCAGGGTGTTTTTAGTGATCACTTAAACAGAGACAGTATTTCTTTAGCATATGTGACTAAAAATACCGTTTCACGCAGAATTTATATTAGCATGATGTGGAATGTGCTTTCCAAAATTTTATCTTAGGGTGTATTTTCATTTGTAGGAATCCAGCATCAATTATTTAGTACAGTGTATTAGAATCTAATAGTCTTTCATAATTCACTTAACTGTCTAGTTAATTTGAATTGCTGTATATTGGGTTTTCTTAAGGCAAGAAGTAGTTCTTTTTTTTTTTTTTTTTTTTTGAGACGGAGTTTCATTCTTGTTACCCAGGCTGGAGTGCAATGGCGCGATCTTGGCT